AGTTTGTGCGAAGGAGCAGAGGCAGAGGATTTTCTTTTGGCGGCTGTAGCAGACGCAAAGGCAGAGAAGAAAAACAGCTGCAGCAGAGAAAATCCTAGGGTTTTATGAAGAGAGAAAAAGTATTTGGAGGCTGACATTTTCTTGTGAAGAAAAGCAAGGAGCCTATTTGAGGGTTTAGATTGTGAGAGTTGTAAACCCATTGTATTCTTTTTCTCTTTAATAGTAGATCCCCCCTCCTTGCCCCGTGGACGTAGGCAGTTTGCCGAACCACGTAAAATTGATTGTTTGAGTTTGTGGCCATTGTAATAGTTATTAGGATCCCTCGACGCGCAGTCCTAGAGCTGACGAGAGGAAGAGCAAATATCCCACTTTGATGGGATATTAGGCTTTCAGATTCTTGTTCCCTTTGAGAAACAAGAATTCTTATCGATCTTTCTCTCTTATTGTCCACCAGAAATTCTGCCGAAATTTCCGCTGCGCACAACAAAATCCACGAAGAACCTTATCTGATACAAAATGACCAAACAAAATTAGCGTGTTAAGAGAGAAAAAGTAAAAGAAAAAAGGGAAAAAAAGGAAACTAGATAGTAAGTAAAAGAACTATAATTTGAGTTGATCTTAATATGTCAAACTTAAGTGGATGTCCACCAAACTTTTTAGCCACTCATTTATATATATAAAAAACTTCTTCATATCTTTCATGGATCCCTAGGCAGCGTCAATGGCTAAAAAAGTTTGGTAGACAACTTTTTGCTATTCACTTAAGTTGACACAAGTTTTGCTCCTATAATTTTACCATTAACGTATTTGCTCGATAATTACGGTTTTTTTATTTTCGTCATCTCCATCCTTGTTCTAGACAAATTCCCCCGTAAAAACGAAAGAAAGAAGAATCAGTCAAACAAATGTGAGATTAATCAAACAAATCTGCTATTTCCAAATAGAAACTAGAACATTTACCTTATCAAAGATGCAAAATTTGGGAGCCAAGAGACTAAAAATCAAATAAATCCAAAAAAGAAAAAAAAAGACCCCCTATCTGACATAAAATCATTAGACAAAATTAGAAATTTATGAAAAAAAAAGAAAGAGATACAGGTAGAGGAATAAGAATCTTACACAGCAATCGCTCCTGCAATTGGTAACTAGGGTTTCTTTTCTTCACCCCCGCCCTTTTTCTCATCAAATTACTCTAAAAAAAACGAAAAAAACGAAGAATTCCGCTATGATTCTCAAAATAGTGACTTGTACAGAAAGGAAGTGAAAAAACTACAGCATTTTTTAAAATACGGGGAAAAAAACTAGGGCAGATGAGAAAAAGGGAGAAGTTTACCTTTTTTTTTTTTTTTTTTTTTGGGTGGAAGA